AGTATTGCATTAAATAAAAAGTTTTGTTTGTGAGATATATCTTCCTAAGTGTATACTCTGTAAGATACCCATGAAGAAAAAATAGTTAAAGAAATTCATATTTTCCATCTTCTAATATGCAAGTACAAATCCCAAAAGGGAAAAGACCAAAAAGTGTAAAGGAACCTAGCAAGAAAAGCTTTACTTTTAGTGTAAACCTGTCATAAGAAAACCAGACCTTAAATATTCCAGAACCATGATCTAACATGAAAAGAAGCAATGTCTTATACCCCCTTCCCCCGCCATTTAAGAACCAATACCACAATCAAAGACCAGAACACCAATGAACAACAGAGTTATATGAAATAAAGAAATGAACATGTAGTTCGTTAACATAAGTTATACAATTTAATGTATCGCATTACAAGTTTCTCATGTGTGTATATAAAGTATTTTAAATGCTTCTAAAAACAATAATAACATAGCTGCTATAGTTTTATATTTTTAGACAAATACATTCTCAAAGTGTCATAAATGTGTTTCATTGAACAAAAAACTGGAAAGTACTCGGAATCCAATCCTTCGACAGGGGATCAAAGATAAAATTGAAGCACATAACAACAGACAAATGTAAGTCTCCATATAAGTAACTATAATGTGCTTTATGAACATTAACACCCTTCCAATAATGGACTGGTTTGGCATAACTGCTGGAACATCTTGGTATAACTGTTATTTTGGGTTAGCCCCAACCTAACTTTCTCAATATTCACTTTTTCATGTTTGAATTTTATGATGCTTCTGATTGATTTGAAGCACTTCTATTTTAACAGATTTTTTGAACAAAACTGAAATTTTTATTAGGACCACAATAACTTCTCTGATTATTGTCTTTGTGATTTTACCATACCAGTCTATTTTTGCGTTACATTTTTCTATCTTAATATTGATGTCTTTCTTTTTTCAATTGGTTCCTTAAAATGTTCAATGTTTTACAATCTGACCCTTGCAGAAAAAAGCATACAGGTCTGACTGTTCATGCATTTCTTATACATTTAGGTTGGAGAGAAAACACTACTATTCCAAACGAGAGCAGGCAAGGTTGAATCCAGAGAAATTTCTAAGTCTAATCATAGATGGCATGGATCAAGGTATAGAACTACTCTTATTAAGGTCAACATAGTTAAGATTTATAGGAAGGTTGGCATAAGTAAGGTTATTACTCACTTATAGTTTAGAAATCAATTAAGTAAAATTGGATTTAAATGCAATAATTAGCATATTTTCATTTTGTTTCAGGAAAAACAAATCTTCCTCATTTTGTTGGAACTCAGTCCAAAAGTGTAAACGATGGTGATCTCTTAAAAACACACATAACAGGAGTTATGTCACATGGGAAGAAACGGTGGACATATACCTACATTGACACATGTGAATACAAACATGACTCAAATATGTCCATTAATATTCTTTTGCAAACCATCTACAAGATATGTCGAAAAAGGGTAAGTTTTTTCTTTGGAAATTTTGCATGAAACTATTTCAAGTTTATCATAATCTAAAAGTAGGTTGCATTCTTGTATTTCAGACGTACAGTGACGTAGGTGGGGGAGACCGGGTCAAAATGAGACAGTTTTACAGGGTTAAGTTGACTTGGGGTTGAGTTTTACTGGGTTGAGTTGATTGGGGATGAGATGACCAGGAAGCCTCATATTCTGATTTGAAATATGCTTTTTGGTATGATAATCACAATTCATGGGACTGATTAGGTTTTGTATATGCTCTGTAAATAACGAATCAGCCAAAGAGAAGAGACAAAAACATTAAAAAGCCCTTAAATATATCCTAAAACCATGAACTAACGTGAAAAGAAGTAGTGTCTAACATCCCCCTTCCTTCAAAATGTTCAATGATTTTGATATTTTAATTACAGAACAATAAGCTACCACCAATACTTTATATCCAGGCAGATAATTGTTGGAGAGAGAATAAGAACAAGTTTCTAATGGCATTTTGTGAGCTATTGGTGCATCGTAACATATTTAAAGAAGTAAGAATCATATTTTAACAAAGAATCAGACTATACATTCCTCACCGGTAAAGCAATGATTTCTGATGACTCTTGTCAACTGATTGCGGTTTTTGTAATCTCTTTTAACACAGGACTTTATATTCTTAATAAATATAATTCTAATATTTACATATATCTGATAAGTTCACTATATGTATGGTTATATTTTTCATCTTTACATTTCAGGTTCACCTGTCATTTTTATTTGTTGGACATACTCACGAGGATATTGATGCCTTCTTTCATGAAATTGCAGACAGTTTAAGAACAACTGAAGCAGAAACACTTCCAGAGCTATTAAATCTTGTTCCTAATTCAGAAAGATTAACTGGAGTCTATGACTTCAGAACATGGCTTGATGGTAATATTAACACTTTAAAAAAGCACACAAAGCCCCATCATTTCAAATTCTTCATTAATGATGGCAAGTCTGAAGTCATGTACAAAGGAATGCACAATCATGCTTGGAAACCATTAGAAAATCCTATACTCCATACAATACCTTTAAACAAACCAAACTTATGTGAGCCAGATTTTGAAAATTTGAAAATTGAAAATGTGGAAAAACAAATGAAATTTTTAGATACTTTATTTTCGAATGATGAAAAAATTCCATGGTGGGAAAACTATATCAAGACTGTTAAGAATTTGAAAGTGGATAAAAAGAGTAGAGACAAGTACAGGAATTCCATCTGGCTCTTGGATAGACTCCCAACACAAGGCCAACAGCAAATAATACCAGTACCTCAGGTTATTTCAGAAACATTAGAGAAACTGCTCCAACAGGAGTCAGAAATACCAGAGGTAAGTTGTAATGTAAAATCCATTCACCAAAGGCATGCTAACATTTTTTCAGATAAAGTTGGGCATCAAGTGTCACTTTTACTCTCTAAGAATAAACTATACCTTTCTTACCATATTTGAATAATACTCTTAAAAGACCTGTATGTATGTTGTTCCTTACAAAACAGTCAAATAAACATGTATAAGATGGAAACCTATTCATTTTTTGCTTTAAGTATTCAAAATCTCATGTTACACTTGTTATAGGCTATTTGTCACATTTGCATATTCATTTAAAGTTTGGAAAAAATAATTTGAAATTCATAATTTTAATACCCATTTTACAATTAGAGTAATAACAATTGTAATATTGAACCTGGCCTGAGTAATATAACAGAAATAATTAATCTTCTTTTAACTTAGGTTATTTCAAAGAAGAAACCGGTATCTAGGGAATCAAGTCAGAAGGGGACGACTCAAAAGGGCCCTGGGTCCAAGAGAAAAACAAAAAACAAGACATAGTTCAGATTGAGTAAATGGTAAATAAAATATTTGTAGACACCCAATTTATCTCTTTTTAGTATAAAAATAAATACATTTTTGGTTGAAAGCTACCATAATGAATACAGTACTTTCTTCAACCTACGTAAGGTTAACAGGTGTCTTAAATATGATAAGTGATGAAGCTTAACTTCATTAAACTTTAGGGCGCCAGAACGTGTGAGCTCCTTGTGTTTATTCATTACTGTATCATTTCTCATTTCTGTTATCACTTATTTGTTTCAGAATCAATCCATTCTGCTATGATGAACCATTCTAATTCAGGTTTTGCGTTCTACAGTACGTCTAATTCGGTACCTGTTTGTTGTTAGAAGAGGAACACTATTATTAGTTTCTGACCATTGTTTACAAAATGGGGAGTCCCTAAAACGCCTTCTCAAGATAAGCAGAAATCTTGGAAATCAAGATATAAATCGTACAGGTTGTAATGGAAATAAAGCTATTGATGAGGATAAACACATAAAATTTATATGCTTATATAAAAAAGATACTTTGAATTCTTTGATCAATCTCAATAATGGCAAGCAGCATATATAATTATCCAATCAGTGCTTACATGTTAGAGTAACATACACAGGATGTTCAGTTTCAAATATATTTGTATTATAATTATTCATAAAAAATGTAACGTGATTCTATGCTTCATGATTCTTATGATTATCCTACAGAATGAAGTTTAATGAGATATACATTATACATCTGTCGGGCCATCTGCCTGGGCAATAACTCAAATACTGGTTAATGGATTTGAATTTCAAAATGGCCACCATTTTCCGTAATAGAACGTTATCTTGAATGACTCAGATACAAGTTGACGGATATGGTTCAAATTTTATATGCTGATTCTTAGACACAAAGGAACTGTGACATATGACTCTACTCAAGAGTCAAAGGCAAAGTTATTTATAAAATATGTTTGGTCAATGGGATTTGCTACTCTGTGAAGTTTCTGTTTTCTAGTTTATAGAAAGTCTAACAGGATGATTATCGTCATAGCAATTTCTATGACATAGTAAGGGCATAGAAGTTTTTATGCAGAAAATATTTTCATAGAAATTTCTATGCCACAATTTTAAAATTTTCTGCAGGATAATAAGGCCATAGAAATTTCTATGAAAATATTTTCATAGAAATTTCTATGCCACAAATTTGAAATTTTCTGTAGGATAATAAGGCCATAGAAATTTCTATGAAAACGTTTTCATAGAAATTTCTATGCCACAAATTTGAAATTTTCTGTAGGATGATAAGGCCATAGAAATTTCTATGAAAACATTTTCATAGAAATTTCTATGCAACAATTTTGGAATTTTCTGTTGAATAGTATGGTCATAGAAATTTCTATGAATGTATATGAATTACTTTTTTAAACCCTAGATTAAAATTCAGTTTAAAACATTGTCAGTTATATGTTGAGTACTGTTTTTGGTATGAAAATTATGATGTTTGGGTCGTAAAACAAAATATTGGAACAAGATATGCCATATCCAAGAGATAAATGTTTGAATTCCATATATTGATTTGAAAATAAAAAAGGAATAAAAAACCAAATCCTCTTTTGTTTTGGAAAGTGTTTCTAATAACCAATCAGAGATAGGAATGTTACCTGGGTGTTCACAGTCATGTAGCCTTGTGCAGGTCTGCTGGCATTCTGGGGGCTCAGTACCACAAGGTATTGGTGGATATAGGACTTCTACGCCACAGTAACATGTAAGTTCATCAAAGCCTGCGAGAAGTTTAAATCAATATGAAATCCCAATGCTGCATCCCCCCCTTTTTTACCAGTGATAACATTAAATAATGTGTATGGAAAACATTTTGTATTAGCTGATAGCTATTAATGTAATCCAATAAATATAGTATTACACAAAAGTTTAAATCAAATCACATATTGAGCAAATCTTTTAACAATTATAAAACAATGCATTCAGATGACAAAATTTCACCACATGGAAAATGTAACAATATTGTCACTGATGCAGATTGCTTGATTCACAAAAAATGGTGGCGACAACAATATTTCACCCATTTGTTGTTAGTAACAAAATATCAATGTTTGCTTTTGTCAAAATGAAAACAAAGGATTTTACAGGTCAATACTGACTTGAATTAATGTTTTTGGAATTTCATTTGAAGTCCAAATGGTCATCAATATAACTGAATGAGCATAAATAAATACTTCTGTTTATGTGTTCTTAGGAGTACATGTTTCAACACTAAGCATATTTTAATTTAAAAATCAAAATATCTTACTAGCTTGCCAACATGGTGGACAGTTTCCTTTATGACAAGTCTCCTCACACTTATGTAGACCACAATTGAGCTTTCTACCACAGATTAACTCACATTTATGCTCAGTATCCTAGAAACATTAAATAATAAATCAAAACATTTTACATAGAGGCCATTCTAAAAATGCACAAGCCATTTACGTGCAATATGTAACAACCTGCCATTTGTTACAGACACCAAACACCAACTGCCTAACACTGTTCAGTGTCCACAAAAAAGTTAAAGTTAAAAGTCCACAAAAAATAACAATGTCACCTTGTGGTGGTGACAAAATAACTCTATGTACTTATAGTAGTAAAAAAATACAATAGAAGGAGAAAAGGTGCAATGCAGTAAGTGTATATATCTAAATGGGAAGAAACCAATTTGTCCATGATCTGTGATTTTTGCTAATTCACAATATCTTGTTGGAATGACTTACACCAAGCAAGCTTAACCAAAGTTTAGTATCCCACCCTCTCCCTGAAATCACTTACATTTTTATTGTAAATTGAGATTGTATTCACACAAATTCCTTAATGTGAACGCTTTTAACTGTACAGAAATGCTAAAAAAACTAGTCAAATTCTCGATAGAAATGTGTGAAATAGACATGGCCATTTCTCATGGAAGATGATATGAATGTTTGGTTACATACCACACAGCAAAGGTTACTGCATTTGTGTCTGCCACAGGGTTTCTTTTTATTGCAACGTCTATCACATGTGAAGGGCTCAGCTTCTACAATACAGAGGTTGTATAGTACAGACCAATGATTTTGATGACACATTCAAAAATTCTGAATTTTGAGGCTATTCAACAGAGTTGCAGATCCTCCTCAAAACAAGAGTTGAATGAATGGCAACCTTTTAAAGAAAAAGGGTCGTTTGAATTTTTACCTTTTTTTCCCACAAAAAGGTTGCACTGCGACTAATTATCACTAAAAGATAGTAACCACTAAAAGATCATCATAAATTCTCAAGGGCTTTTTAAAATGTTAAACCCATTAGTGTCCTTTATGTTTCCTCTCCCTTTAACAATATCAATATTAAGTTATTTATGAACGTTTTTATTTGGTCATAATCAGTGAGTTGGTGTACATGTCATCTTATTTTTCAACTTCAGTTGATTCTCAATACTCTGAGCGTTATTTTGATACTTGAACTATGATGGTAGTTTCAGTTTCACTTTTCAAAATCAGATTCAAAATGTCAATCTTATAAAACGAATCTGTCGCGAATGGAATTGGCGTTTCACATAATTTACATGCTGTGCTATCACCAATACGTTTACCTTGTGCTATCGGAATCCCAAAGTACTTCCAAACTGCCGACTTTTTTGACTTAGATGCCAGCTTGATTTTTTTATTTCTTTTCTAAATCCGTCATACTGATAATGCACTCGATTTGCGAACGATAATGCAGGACATTTACGAACGGGTATTACCATCTACCTGAAATCGCGGGTCCGCTATCAACATTCCTCATTGCGAAGAAGTGTGATCGAGGTACGAGGTAAGTGAAGACATCAGAACGAATTCGGAGGTGTTTCTCGCTATTTATAAACCTTTGATGCATTTTATAGTAAGGAATTAATGTCCCAATATTGAAATTCAGTCCAATATCGGGAATTTAATACTACGAGTTTCAGGACCACGCCATACTCGTACGAATGGCAAGTATTTTCAATTTATTGGTCGAAAGTTGAAAAAAAAGTCGTAAAATTACGACCATACGACTGGGGATTTGCAACTCTGCTATTCAATAGCATTCATATCATACAAATAAGTTCAAATTTAGGCAGGGATGGAAAAAATAAATCTACTGAAGCTAATATTGCTGTAGATCTTATGATTACAAAGACTGGACTGTAGAATGTCAATTTCAGAACAAAAATCCCAAAATGTTGATTTTCTGTTCACATCAAGAGCCAAAAAACAATATTTAACACATGAAACTGGAATTTACCCCCTCCTCCCCCAGTGAAATCAACCTTGTTCTTCGGCAACTATTTCAAACATCATCCTTTACTATACCGATTGACTGATACTCTTTGGGGACTAAAAGCCTGTCTTTTATTTAGTAATACAATGTGCAAAAAGCTGAACAAAAAACATTCACTCTCCATAATTAATGACATTGTACCAAGGGAGACATTCTATTAAAAAAATGTAACGAATCATGAAATTCAGTCTCCCACTTAATTACTATAAAAAATCATAAGGACGTTTCAGGAGCAGACGCTCATATCGATGAATTGTCCTTAACTACTAGTATACTATTCAAACAAGGCATTAACATGACAAAATGTCACCAACTTGTTGTTCACAATATTACTAGTTCAATTTTAAATCAGAACTCAAATATGATTTTGAAAAAAGAAATGTGTCAATTTGAAGCGAGTTTTTTGACCCTGAGAAGATCATTGAACTTCTGAGAACTTGTAGATGATTTTGAAGCAAGTTGAAAAAATACCTTTTTGACCTTGAGAAGGTCATTGGAGGTCAAATACTTTTTTGAGCTTGTGAATGTCATTGAACGTGGAATCTGTAGTCCGATATGAATTTTTAGATGATTTTCAAAAAAATTGGTCAATTTGAAGCAAAATGAAAAAATATCTTTTTGACCTTTTTTGACCTTGACAAGGTCAATGAAGGTCAAATCTCAAATCTAGTCAGATTTGAACTTCTGATAACTTGTAGATGATTGAAAAAAATATTTGGTCAATATGAAGCAAGATAAAGAATACCTTTTTGACCTTTTACCTTTTTGACCTTGAAAAGGTCACTGAAGGTCAAATCTTAAATATAAAGTCAGATTTGAACTTCTAAAAACTTGTAGATGATTTTGAAAAAACTGTAGTCATTCTAAACAGTATTTACAAGATCAAGTTATTGGAAGTTTTAAGAATTTGTTACAGTTGCAAACTGCCAACAACCAACCGCCACCTGCTGATCGCCGCCCACCCATTGCCAACCACCATCACAAAAAAACAGAGACCATAACAATATGTCAACACTTTTTGGTGGTGACATAGTATTCATCTATCCAGAGGTTGTCTGTAAAACTTTTTTCCGCACTTTAAATCAAGAGATTAGGTTGAGGTTTACAGTAGAAGATATCATTTTGACAAATCAACTGTCAGTGAATAAAGGGGTCTCTGATTGTATGGTGTGTTCTTTTGAAGAAAATATAAATAAGGCTAATTTACTTCAAAATATTTGTTTTCATTTTGCCAACTATTCTCTCTGATTCATTATTATGACATCACCCCCAAACACTATAAACTGGCAACTCATTGTGCAGTTAAAAGTAGAAACTATCTCCCACTTATTAATCAATCAGAATCAAGTATATAAACAAAGGTACTAATAATATATAATATTTACTTACCAGTGAACTGCACCAAATCGACACAGTCAAACTCCTTAATGACAGCCTCACACCTACACATGACTGGTGACTCCCCTTCACATACTCCACAGGGTCCCACGTGGCACCTCAACTTGCATTTATGAGGTTTTGCTACAATTAACACAAAACACACATTACACTAAGAATAGCTCAATATAAAGCCTCAAGGGAAATAAGGCCCAATGTCAATTAGTACTATTCATGTGAATATTATTTTAAAGATGAGAAGAGATTAATCATTTTATATTTTCGAAGAGGTATAGTAAAAGGTTCCACAAGAGGAATTTGGATTTTATTTTAACAGTCTGAGTACAACTCGAGTGGACTCACAAAACTTAATTTCCCTGGAGTCTATTGATGTGTATTTTTTGTCTAAAACGCATGTTATTGAAAGATAGCAGATCAAAGATGAAAATACAGACAGCTACTTAATTAAAAGGGTACCGTTAAAAGCATACTTGACACTTCACTGATCTTATACAATATTTTTTTAATTAGTCTCCATAAAAGGGCTGTGCTTTTCCATCCTTACCTTCCGGGCCACATTTCAGTTGTTTCTCACATAACTGTTGGCAGGGGGTTATGGGATCTGTACACTGGGTCCTCTTCTGTCCCCCAGTCAACTCATCTAAGGGGGTCTTGCCGCATGGACAATGGGTGACAGAGGTGGGCAACAGGGGGCAGGATGGGCAATCGCCACTATGGCAGATTTCCTCACAGCTGTGGTTCCCGCAATCAAGGGATCTAAATTGAAAATTGAAACAAGCTTCTTATTTACTTCTGGTAAATAAAAATGATTCATAATTAATGTGGTGAAATAAAAAATATGTATCTGGTCATAAAAATATCCAAGATGAATACAGAATGTGCCAATGTATCTGAGCATGAAAATGTTATTTTTATAAAACATGTGATGTATCCACCTATTAACAAGAGGGGAATAGATCCTTCACTTAAGTGGTAGGTTAGACATTTTGGTGGTCTTCATATTTTATATATAACTTTAGACCCCATATATTCAATTTTGATAGACCCCATAAATAAAACTTCGATTGCTCTTTATTACCAGAATAGAAAGCTTCTTATTTTTTACCTTGCACATGTAGATTTGCAAGTGAATGACTTGGCAAATGATTCCTTGCTGCCACAAAGAACCTCTCTTTCTGTCTTACTGCAATAACATGCTGGAATAAGAAAATATTGTAATGTACATATTTATAGAGAGAGGGCGAGTACTTCTATTGCAATGGATGTTGAAAATGATGGGAGGCTTACACAACCTATGTTATATAGCAAAAGGAACCATTTTCAAAGTTCTCTGTCCCATTGATTTGTTGTTAAATGAAACTCAATTTGAGACCCCCCACAAACAAAGTAGGGGTACAATAGGTGTTCCACATGCACCAGTGTAACTTACTTTTCACTGTAAATACCTTTTTATTCAGATTTTATGTTGAGAGATTGCTATCTACTTACGTTGTATGAGTGTGACATCACAGGGTTGGCAGCTCCCCTGGTGGCAGACTTGGGAACAATTATGTTGTCCACAATTGAGCAACTTGCCGCATGTCTTGTCACACTTGAGTACCTTCGACTGACCACATCGCACAGAGTGCCTGAGACTAGTTAAAGTACATTGTAATAATTGTTGTCACATAAATTGAAACAAATCAGCCAACTCATTGAAAAATCTGTACGCAGGGAATAACAACCAAATTAATGACAAACTACACAATGTGACCGACCAGTCAGGATTTTTTATCACACTGCCAAGCTGAGCATTCAGCTATATCCCCCTCTGATGAAAATGTAACTTTTTACAAACCTGTTCCATAAACCTAAAACACGTTCATAAATGTTATGGCATGTTTACTCCAATCAGGTACTCTGATTTTACATGAAGTACAACCAAGTACTCTGATTTTATATGAAGTACAACCAGGTACTCTGATTTTATATGAAGTACAACCAGGTACTCTAATTTTATATGAAGAACAGCCAGGTACTCTGATTTTACATGAAGAACAACCAGGTACTCTGATTTTATATGAAATACAACCAGGTACTCTTATTTTATATGAAGTACAACCAGGGCTTTCGACAAAAAACAGGTACTCTGATTTTATATGAAGTGAACTGCTTTCATACTGGAGTTCACTTATTTTACTCTCAAATAAATAATTAATAGCAAAGGATAATAGATTCATTCAGAAACTTGCTTGATTGATTTGAAATATGACGTGTATAACGACACAGATATGTCAGCTTTTAGCTTGTCAATAAAATAAGAACCTTTTTATTATTTATTTATTAATAACGGACCCATTCAACTGAAAAATCCTTATGGGAGACTATTTGATTGGTTATTGTTATTTATTGTATGTTTTTCATTTACTAATGCCTTGGTAACATTTGCTCAAATTTTCACTATGTCACCCGGCCGACTGAGTATTATATTCAAAACTGAATACAATTGAACAAAATACTCAATCGGGCAGGCGCCGGCCGATGAATCGGAGCAATTGTGACCCCGACATGAATCATTTATTACTCCATAAGCAACAATATGAATATTTAACGAATGTTACTGATTGATGAAGAGGGGACACAATTTAAGTGGATTATGGAACAGAAAAAATTGAGTGGTTTATAGTTGCACTCTAAATCGCTTTCAATTAAGAGTTATTAATGGATGAGTAAACATTGCTGAGTGAGTGAACGGCCACAAATGTGATTGAAACATGGGGTCTAGTGTCTAGGCTATTTGCTCCTTTAGTGAAAGAGAGATGTTAGTAAGGGCAAATCTGAGGTAATCTACTTTTTATTGATTGCAAACTTGATATGAGAAGTTAATTGTGATTTTTAAGTTGAATGGAGCTGAGAAACTAATGACTCATAAGTTATGAAAAATGAGACAAAAACTGATAACATGGCAAAGAAGGATGCACAATCAAACAATGCCAAGTCACAATGTAAAATTGTTCATGCAAATGAAAGGAACGCAGTACTGACAGTAAAATAAATGCTATTTATGTAACAACCTTGGAATCTCTTTTTGAAATTAAACCAGATGACATGGTTACATCAAACATGGAGTCATTAGCTAACAATACTACTGAATGCCTTAAGATAGTATTTAATGGAAGCATTTCAAATACGGACACAACAAATGACATGGAGGACTCAACAGAATACAAGTTAACAATTGCCTTATGGACATACCTATCTCCGATCGTATTATTGGTGGGGTTGATAGGAAACTTGCTGTCAATTCTGGTACTGAGATGTACAAGCATGAAACGTGCTGCATCATCGGTTTATCTGACAGCCTTAGCTGTATCTGACCTCACATTGTTGCTGATAAGTCTCAGTAATGACTGGGTAGCCTACATGTTTGACTTCGACATACAAACAGTTCACACATGGAGCTGCAAAATCCACACATTTCTGGTGTACATGTTTACTGATATATCTGCATGGATGCTAGTATGTGTTAGCCTGGAGCGGGTCACCATGGTATACTGGCCAATCAGAGTCAAAACAATATTCAGCCCTTGCAGAATCATGGTGTCTATCATCACCATGGTTGCGCTACTATGTGTTGTCAACATTCAATGGTTGTTTACACTTGTAGTGAGGGAAACAATTCCAGGAGAGATGATGTCTCTTGTACATGAAAGTCTCCAGATTGAAGATGCCCAAACCGAGGAAGAAATTGTGTGCATATATAAAGAAGGTACAGAGAACTTCAGAAGCTACTACTGGCCATGGATAGATGCTTGTATCGCCTCATTTATTCCATTTACAATCCTCATCATATGCAACGCTTTAATTGTAGCAAAACTTAGCAAATCGAAGAAATTCAGAAAAGAGTCAACAAATGAGAGAAGAGGCAAAAATAACAATGCCACCAGGTCGATTACAATCATGCTAATCGTGACATCATTTATGTTTCTCATCCTAACGGCCCCGTTTGTGATATATCTCATCATCTGGCAGAAAGATACCAAAAATGGATATGCATCGATGACTGAGCTTATACATTCGGAACTCATGACCTCTATATTTGATATGTTCATTTACTGTAACAGTGCCATCAACTTTATTCTATACTGTCTCAGTGGGAAGATGTTTCGTGAAGCCCTAGCAGAATTGTTCTGTGGGAAACAACCGACACAGGCAAGTCAAAGAACCTCTCGACACAGCAACACATCTGTGCTTCACACTGGTACATCTCCAAAAGCAAGGTATTGCACGGATATTAGAACTGCCATATATAATACTACAGCTGCTAAATGTGATAATACAGCTCTTAAATATGTTACTACAACTGCCAGGTGTGATACCATAGCTGACAGACATGAGAATGGAGCAGCTAAATGTAATGCAACAGATGCCAGATGTGATATCTCAGCTGTGAGGAGTGATGCTACATCTGCAACTTGTCAAATCGATGGTGCCTACATTAATAATAGCGATAAATATAGCATGGCAGTTCTTGGAGAGACGTTGTGTATTGAAACACTAGAGATAACAAAACTTTAACATATTAATTAAGATAAGAAAAAAAAAATAGTAGAACACATAAGCCTCAGTCACATTTGCTCTGTGGCGGGCATACGCCGTACATATCGAGATAGAAAATCTACATTGTAATGCTCCTCCCTATATTTTATGCTGCATATTTCTCTCAATTTTTGGAAGCTATGGCTGCCCTATGGTTGCCATAGATCAAATGTGACTCCCGGCACTAAATCTGTCATTTCTAAGTCTAACCAAAAACCAGAACAACGGCAACGCCAAAGCGTAGCGAATCCCATCGAACAGCCATGGCTGGCATATTTACAAACAAATTATATAGCACAAATGGCAGCCATTTTTCAAAATGGCCACCTTCTACCATTAGACAGTGTCATTAGACAGTGTGATATGCTTATAGTATTCACATACCAAATATGAACAAAATCGCTTCACTACTTTTCGAGTTATAGTAAAATACGTTAAAATGGCGGCCATTTTCAAAAATGGCCACCTTCTACCAAAAGTGTCATTAGACAGTGTGCCATACTTATAGTATTCACATACCAAATATTAACAAAAAATCGCTTCACTACTTTTCGAGTTATAGTAAAAAACGTTAAAATGGCAGCCATTTTTCAAAATGGCTGCCTTCTACCAAAAGTGTAACTAGACAGTGTGCTATGCTTATAGAATTCACATACCAAATATGAACAAAATCGCTCCACTACTTTTCGAATTATAGTAAAATACGTTAAAATGGCGGCCATTTTGAAAAATGGCGGCCATTTTTCAAAACGGCCGCCTTCTACCAAAAGTGTTATTAGACAGTGTGCCATGCTTATAGTATTCACATACCAAATATGAACAAAATCGCTCCACTACTTTTCGAGTTACAGCAAAAATTGTAAAATAACGAGTAAAGGCCGCCATTTTTCAAGATGGCTGCCATGTGCTTCTTTAATATCTACATTTCTAGCTTTATTAATGTCCTATGTAATTTTTTTACATTTAAAACATATTCCTATAACAGTTTTACATATTGCACCTAAATTACTGTAAAATCGGCACTAAAATGGCCGCCATTTTTAAATGAGCGGCCATTTTGAAAATCGGCTTTCGAGCAGAACTTCTTCCCCCATAGGGTATATGTGCACAAAATATGAACAAAATCGGGCTAACGGTATTTGAGTTATTGCCCGGACGGACGGATGGACGGACGGACGGAGGCGTTCCCTATATCCCTCCGAACTTCGTTCGATGGGATAACAATAGAGAAGTTTCGCACAACGGGTTAAAGCTGAAACTTATCCACAACAGCATGTTTAATTAAACTGCTTATGTATTAAATACTATTCTAGTGAATGTTTTGTGGATTTTAGATACAATGAGCTAAAACTTTACATGTTAAACCTCTCTAATAAGAAGAAATGTCATTTTATCTGATATTGCAGGTTGTTCAATTTAAAGTTCCTACCAACAGCTGAGTATGATTGTTTTATATCATAAAATGCACTGATAATTGGATCAATAATGATCATTTAAGGATACTTTGTCTTTCCACAGTCACATTTTTTGGTTACCATAGCCTGGCATGGTGGACATGGTCCTGGATGACACAATCTGAAAAACAAAATGTACAGGCTGAAAGAAATCCTAACCCTTTGCTTTACATTATCAACAGGATAACACTTTAAACCTTACAAATTTATAGGATTACACTTCCTTCAATATAATATGTACAAGTGACACTTTCTGCAATGAATATAAACAGGATAACTCTTTGTGTAATACAATGTGTACAGGATAACATTTTCTGTAATACAATATGTACAGTCTGGATAACAATATCTGCAATATAATTTCGGATTACAGGGGTTTCATAAGCAGCAGGCAACAGGCAATTTTCATCTGTTGTTTTCACAAAATTGCCTCTTGTTTTAAGGACTTTTCAACTTTTCCATGTTAAATTTAAGATTTTCATTAATCTTGACTGTTGTTTTCATTTCTATAGCTTATTGTGAATAATTTTAGTGAAACCCCGATTAAAAATTAAAGTGATCCTGTTTTGAGTTGACCACCCCCTTAATCAAAACTAAGACGATCAAATGATTTAAGTTCGTAAGTTGTAATCTGATTTTTTATTCCTGGGATGTGATTGGTTATATGAGCCTAGCATATTTTATGGATGGGAAGTATCACATAAGATTGAATCCTAGAACAATTAGTAAAATATATTTAATGTTGGGAGAGATTTCACCACTTTGGATTTTTATCCTCTACAGTAAGCTATTTTCATACCCAGGCATTTATCACAATTATCAGTTTTGTTGTAATCAGTAGCCACTTCATATTTTATGTTTTGTATGATTTGTACCAAAGAAACATGGCTTACTATCACCACTCAACATATTTCAATCTGTTTTCACAATAAACAGTTCCCTAATAATACAGAATGGATTATTTGCATTAAACTTTAGATAACAGAAAAAGCACCCAAAGATCCAAGTTCATATTCTTTGAAAGGAGGTTGCAATGGCTTGGTTCGTGCCCTTAATCAATCTAAATATGATGTGGGCTTTACTGAGGTCTAGATAAACTAGTTAGGTATGTAGATAGTAACTTCAGTTAGTGAATATAACCTTTTCCACCTTCTGCTTCTCAGTGTGGTAAAGTCCATTGATTTTGGGGATTGATTTTGAAAAAATGCAACAGTGGCATCTAGTTATATTGACTAATATACTGTAGTGGAAGAATGAATTTCATAAGTGTAAACATTAATTTTTGGCCTTTGGACGTAAACAACAAATAAACATTTTCAAATATATATTATAAAAGAGTAGGAGTTGCACCATAGTAATTTTCCATATCCGTTAACTCATTCGCGCGGTCAGGCAAATTTTGTCACCAATACGCTACATGGCGTACGTCGACTCCAGGTTGACAAGCTATAGGAACGTTTTAGCAGACTAAAAAAGATGTCACCCTAGTATTGCAGTGCCAATGTTCGGTACTCACATTGACAGGAGGAAGTGATTTAAAATTAATTTGGCAAAGTAAAATTTTGGAAAAAAAATATTTCGGTCACTTATTGATTTATTTTGTAACAAATACGAATCTGGAAGTGAGCAGACATTGTGGTATTTAAAAATGGCAGACAGGGCTAGATTTAGAATGGGTAATGATGATCAAATCGCTGCTATATTCAATGATTCTGGTAGTGAAGCCTAATATTTGAACCCTCAGAAAACGAAACTTCGGAAGAGATTGAGAACAGCACAATTCTACACATTCTCCCACTCACTTACTACTCATTTGCTTAATAACATTAAATAAACATATCCTCATACAACTTACATGTTACATGGATGAGGGCACCCATTCCCTCTATCTTTACTGCAAACTTCTCCACAACTGTGCGGAGTCTCAAACCTACTCCATTCGGGGTCACGAACTTTGGCGCAGAAACAGCGGTACTGATTCGGTACTTTAGCTGTGAGATTTTGGCATGCAGGACATCGCCAACCACTGCCATCTTTAATAAATGATCATGAATATTTCAACATCAACAAAAGTATTGGTTCCATATTTGCACTGTATAGATTCACAATTTCTCAATCCAAAAATATTACTCCTCTGATGGCAGGTTTAAGCTAAATATAAGAACTAGGTTTGCATCTTTTGTTTTTGCCTCATAAAGCTGGTTTTAATGACCATAACTGAAAACAGGTACCTTCTGCAGAAGAATTGAGAGTCCTGGCCCACTTCTTGATGCACCTAAGGTGAAAGACATGGTAGCAGCTAGTACAGCTCCAGATTGCCACCTCACGCCTGACTATGTCACAGCACACCATGCACTCATAGCCATTACTACTGAGCTGTTCTATCAGGGTGCCTACAAAACACAGGTTAAATATATTTGATGTTTATGTCATAGAACATGCTCCCAAATATAGTATTTGTTGTCAAGTGAGTACAAAATTTACATTTACAAAATTCCATTTTTACAAGTTCATCAAAATATTCCAATTTTCGTGATTTTTAAATAGTGCAAGTGGAATTTAAGTGGAAACCAATTTTCAGAATCTGAAATTGGTGTAACGCTGACACTTCAATACTAGGAGGCGTATTCATCAATGCCAAATGTCAAGTCACAAATGTACAAAAGTAAAATAAAAATTGCAGTTCTTAAATCTAAATAACATTGTTTAAATTTTCTTTTAAACCATGATGAACATTCAGATTCAACTAAATTCTAGTTATAATAAAAACACCATACCTCTCTGAGTTTCTTCATCTTCTGGTCCTAGCCCCCTGAACAGGTGGCGCCCTTTACGAATTCCCTTCAGTCTATCTTTTTCCGCAGTTTTTTTCTCACGCTTCTTTGATTCTTCACTTTCGTGTTTTTTGCTACCATCCCTGAGGCGTGATGTCTCATGGGACTTTGCTTTGCTAGACCCTGGGTGGCTTTTACTTGAACTTTTACCATGACTGGACGAAAACCCTGATTCAGCATCTGACTTTGAAAATGCTTTACTGTCTTTGGGTAATTTAAGCAGGCCTTGTTTATTGCTGCTGGTATGACTATTAGATTCATCTGTTCTCTCCTTGGATGGTTTCTGTCTTCGGTGGGTATCCTTAACATTAGGTAATGGTTTATTTGAACCTGAGTTTTCACTGGAAGACTTTGCTGATCCATCCTTTGGATCTTTAGTGGTTTTGTCGGAATTGTTCCGTGCAGATTGAGGTTCTCTTTGAGCACGATTATTTCTTTCAACGCGTCGGTTATGTTGATCACGGAAATAACTTTTATTGGGTGATTTATCCTTTTTGTGAATTTTATCATTTTTCCAATCATTTACACTTTCATTTGAGGCAGAACTTTGTGCATAGAGGTATTCATCTGATGCAGACGCATAAGGCTCGTAACCTTCATTACTAGGCACTTCCTGGTCCCGAGGCACTGACCTTTGACCCCTGTAACGACCACGCCCTCTATAATAGTTTTGCTTTAACTGGTGGTTTTGAGGGTAGTAATTTTCATACCTCATTCCTCTTCCTTGACCTGGGGGTGGGTAATACATAGGGCCTTGGTTAGGATAGTATTCCATTTGTGGGTTATATGGGTTAGGATTAGCCCCGTTAGAGCCGGGATTATAGTATGTTGTCCCTTGGAAGTGATATTCTGGATGGTACTCTGGGTAGGATTGGTACATATTCTGGTTATATTGTTGGTTGCCATAGTAACCATCTTGGTATTGGTCATATTCTGGAGCTGCATCTTCACTCATAATTAACTTAGATCCCTTGATTAGATCAACTGGGTGCTGAATTAATACCTGAAAGTAAATTATATGTATTAAGCACGGAACAAAAATGAGAACATAGTGTTAACTTATAACAGGGATTTCATAAGAATCTCTGTCAACATGCAAAATACATGTAGATGAAAACAACAAGCAAAAGTGTTGAATTATTACTGTTGATTGTTGTATTATTTGAACTAATAACCAAATCAGAATCTGTAGTCATTACCAATTAAAACTCTGATTTGGGTATATTTAGGTCAGCTCCTCATGCTGAATCAACTATGGACATTATCATTTTAAAATGGAAACTGCTTCAAAACAATGCGATTTGTTCTAAGTAACTGGAGAAGATTATCTGTTACCTGTTGCTTATGAAACCCCTGTATTAACTGATCTACTGGGGCAATTTTTTAACAGTTGAGAAATTTAGAATTTCTAAGGAGCCTTATAAATAATATGGCACTGAGACATCTGTAATTTCTTGCATTCAGCCTAATACCTGACCTACTGTAAGAGCAAACCAAACAAAAAAGTGAAACTGGGCGCAGATTGCCCCTACCTATTTCGTGCATGTGTGTAAGTGAATGAACTCTCCTCCAGACTAGAGAAATCCGGCAGTTTGAAATGCTGGCTGAATTTACTGACTCAGAAAGCGAATTACGTGAATACCTCTGCAGTTTAGATAGCTGAAACTTTTGTGACTTTGGGAGAACATAGGAAGTGAATGTAAGAATCTAAGGTAAGAAAAAGGTGAAGCCATATAAAGGGTAAAGAGGTATAAAGTTGTTCATTCAATTTGGGGTAACTTTGACATATGGGGTAACTTCGAAACCTTGTTGTTAATTTGCTAAGGAGTTGGGTAAACAAGGCCATTTTAAGCCCCACCTGATTTTCAAGTTTTCTCTTTATTTTATTAATCTATGTGATATATGTGTTTCAAAAATGTATGAAAATTTAGGTCAAGGTCATATTCCCCAGGTCAAGGTCAAATTAAAAAAATCATTATTTTCTACCAAAATATACCTTTTTGGTTAAAATATCACAAATATCTGTAGGAATTTAGTCTCATAGAGGTTGGAATTACAATATATAGTAAATTGGCAATTTGCCAATAATGAGATATTTATATTAATATATTCCGCCCTTCCCACGCAACACTGAAAGAGAACAAAAGTACCTAAAATGAAGGACCCACGGTCCTATGCTCACACAGTTTGGAACCTTCAGAGGAATTTTATATCCTGACTTTCAAACAAAAATATTGATTTGGATTTGTAGTCTCGAACTTTGACAAACTTAGATAGCATAGTTGTGTGACCTATTTGATGACCTTTGACCTTGAAAATTTTACTTATTCAGACCTCAGTAAGGTCTTTTGTGATTAAGCTGACCAAAATTTACATCCAAAAATCAATTTGAAAAATCAAGTTTTTTGACCTTTCGAAGGTCACTGAAGGTCAAGTAAAGGTCAAATCCTAAAACTAATGTCAGATTTGAACTCCTGGTAACTTGTAGATGATTTTCAAAAAAAAATTGGGTCAAATTGAAGCAAGTTGAAAAATAACTTATTTTTACAGTTTTTTGACATCAAATATCTCAAAAACGGTAAAAATTTGATGCTGACATATATTGAGAAATATGTAGGGAATGCTTAAATCTATTAATGATGTAATTTATTGCAGGAAATGATCAAGTATAAGGCAAACTTTAAGAATCTTGACAATCACAAAACCTGCCATTGACTTTATACATGAGAAAGTTTCCTGAAAATAACGAAGTCCTACTTTTTTTCAAATTTTATAGAGTAAACACCAAAAACCGTAATTCCAAGAGCTTTGAAATCTTCAGAGGATATAAGTTGCATATACACCAACTACTAAAAGGTATTTGAAAGTTCAACAAAGTGTCTAGTATTTACAGAAAATTTGACTTTTTGACGTCAAAATCCGCAATTTCTCGGAAACCGGGCGAACTTGGGAAATGGCGATGATAGGTCAAATAGGCATTATGGATATGCATAAAATGAATGTGGATAGGACTCAATCCGAATAGCAGTTTTAATTTGTGCGGCCAATGTTGACGGACGGACCAATGGACGGACGGACGGACGGACCAACGGACGGACGGACGGACGGACCAACGGACGGACGGACCAACGGACGGACGGACGCCTGGTCAATCCCATAGGCTCACTGTGTGAGCCAATAATGAAAATACTTTATTATTTTTAATTCATTTAAATTCAGAATGTACATTTCATGATTTGACTCGTAAAGTAATGTTTATTTTTTATGAGAAATATGTCCTGCTTCCTGTTAGCGACATAGGGTAGGCTAAAAACCACACACTAAACACACACTGTATATATTATAATTCAACATAATGATATTATTCAACATAATTTTAAAGCAACTATTAAGTTTATTATCAATCATTCTGATAATGTCTAGGAAACAGTAAGTACAGATAACGGAGATAATCACTTCTTGGAAATCACCTAAAAGGTGAAAAACATCTAAAATCTCAACACATTTCATCATTGGATTGTTAATGAAATAACAATGAAACATTTTCTGATTAGTTTTACTCATCATCACTTGAACTATTATTATAGCATATTATCTGTCTAACTTTGGCATTCTTGACTTGTGAAGCTAAATCTTCTGTAACCTTTCTCCGTTTTCTAGGAGAATTTACCTGCTTCCTACATATGCAGCATGAATAGCATTTGGCCATTTTGAATAATCAACAAAAATGGCAGGCAAAATTTTCTATAAAGTTCTAAAATTCACATCGAGCATAATAAGTCTCCATCAAAATTATTCTTTGTATGCAACAATATAACATTTATGCAACTAAAGAAGCACTTATTAGAGTGGAGATTAGTTATGCTCTATGTGAAAACACTCAAAGGATTACTACCTCCAGTGAATAAAAATGTCACCCAGACTCAGCATGAAATGTCCTTTCAAAGCTTTACTTACCTCTAAACTGTACATATTGTTTAAATCAATTGTATGTATGGAGCAAATAAATATATATTTACATAATCCTGGACAGATAAATCAAAAACATCCATTCATAGCTGAGTAAATTGGAATTCATCAAGAGGGTTGCAAAATATGTGAATTTTTTTCCTTCTGGCCCCCACCCTCTTTCAAGGTCTCCAGACACCGTAACAATTTTTTCTAATTTTTTTTAAAAATACTACCCAAAAATATAGACTTCAATCTATGCATTCCTGATGTTTTTTTCTCCTATTCTTAAAAAAAGTTTTTTCACACTTCAATTGGGGCACTCTCTGTTGCTAGTTTACCCAACTCCTTTCTAATCATTTAAAGCAATATATTGGGCACATTTTCTGAAAAATTAAAAATATTCTGTTCATATCTACCCCGACATAATAACAAGGCTTCTTCTTGCATAGATCGAGATCTCCCGAGATTTTTATTTTTTTCAAAATGAGTATCTCCAAGGCTTTATACCAGCGTATGCATAATGCATTTGTCACGAGTTTGAGCTGAAAATTCGCTAAAATGAAGTAAGGGTAATCTCCGCCATGTTTGTTTATTGTGGTTACCGGATTTTCTCGCATATACGCCCCCCTAAATTTAGGCCCATGGGCCAAAAATCGAATGTAGTACGCTTATACGCCCATGGGCCTATAAAAAATGACTATTTATTGATTTTTTCAATAAATTTTGTCACTGGCAGATCGTTCTGTCGTTACTTTGTTTCAACATTAAGTTCAAGGCTGTGCCGTAAGTGGCAGTGGTGGATCGTTCTGTTGTTACTTTGTTTCAACATCAAGTCCAAGGTTGTAGGTGACATTTCCTTTATAATTCTTAAAAAACATGCGGTAGGACTACAATAGTAGGTACGGTAGTCTTTGAGGAACCATTGTATTCATCAGCTCTTCTCACCTTTACACCCACTGGGCCAAAAATCGAAAGTAGTACACTTATACGCCCATGGGCGAAAAATAAGAGGTAAAATAACAGACGAAATTACCGCTTCTTTCAGTTATACGCCTAGGGCTTATATGCGAGAAAATCTGGTAGCTTTTAATGGTTAATGCTCAGAAGCAAATAATTATGTGCGCAAAATAATCAAATAATCTGATTGGTTTAAACTTTGCTGCACATGCGCACAATGTGTGGCAAGGTTTTTTCTAGTGATTTTGTTTTGTTTCATGGAGTTTGCGTTTCAGTGTAACTTCCGCAAAAATGGCAGACCAATGACAGAATAACAGGTACATGTAAAATCACTTCGAAATTTTGAGATACCTAAAATAGCAAAACTTTCGTTTTATTTGTGCATTTTATCTATCAGATAAGAGTCTCAGGGGTATGTAGGCAAATTCATTTTGGTAGGAGCACTCTGTTTAGTTTGAAAACGCACCCTTTATTATCAGCACTATAGACTAGAAAATTCAGAACACTTTGTTTGCATCGATATAATTCCCGGTGGTTTACAATATAGAGTCAATACGTCCAAATCCAAACAGGGGGGTAAACACGAACGGGTTCCAAATAATGGCAAGCAGATCATTGAATTGAATAAGAGTACCTCTACTACCTCTACATACTATTTATAGCCTGAAAGATACAATATAATGATGTATACCAACAATCTTACAATAAAATAATCAATTATGATGATTTAGGTGTTCGGAATTACCCCCATGCTAGTGTTTGGAATTACCCCCACAAACTCTGTGCGTTTAAATAAATAGATGTCAGTAATAAATGATTTAAATTTGGGTTTCTTGATATGCAGGGGTGACAGGATCCAGTATCATAAGTTAAGGGTATCATATAATGATATACCATCAATCTAATAATTAAAACAATTAAGTTTAAGTTAAGTGTTTGGAATTACCCCCATGCAAGTGTTCGGATTTACCCCCCAAAAAAACTCCTGTTCGGAATTACCCCCCTAAAATACCTTGTAGTAAAAATGGAATAACCCAGATATTTTTTACAATTTTTCGTAATTTTTTCTGCAAATGCATTCTACAGTGGATAATACACATAATATATATATAATCATAGCATAGATGTGCAGTACAGCCAAGCTTACTACATTTTTTGATGGGGGTGTTTGGAAATAGACGTACTTTATCCCGTTCCCGGACTATAGTCCTGCACTGATCGCATTCATTTGCCTGTACGATTACAACTTGGGAGATTTATCTACGCCCCTTACACTTAAGATACCTACCTCAATGCATTATAGAACTCAAGATGTAACTTCTAATATGTTGGAACCGCCGATTGTCTGGGTATATCGGCAGAACGGGAACATTTTCTCTTTTTCATCGAGAGAGATTCCATCACTTTTCAAAATGGCGGTTGGATTTAAAAGGGGAATCCCCCGTTTGGCTGTCCCGGATGTAGCCCGGAAGTACCAATATGGAGGAATTTGACGGTTGAAATAAGTTAAATGTTACACGCAAATATTACGATCAAAAACGAAAATGTCTTCGTTCTGCCGATAAACCCAGACAATTGTGGATTCAACTACACGAAAAGAATGCTAAATTACCAAGGAATCTATTGAGGTAGGTTTCTTAAGTGGAAGGGGCGTAGATAATTCTCCCAAGTTGTAATCGTACAGGCAAATGTATGGGCTCCGTACAGGACCATAGTCCGGGAACGGGATAAGACGTACTGACTCTATTTATTTATAAACTCCAGAAAAACATATATATCAATATTGTCCGATGTAAATGCAGAAATTCTTACCATTGCGGATGTCATGTCTGTATTCATTTGATTTTATATAAAGATTAGTTATTGGGGCTAAATGTGAACCATTATATACCTGTCAAAATGTGTTGCAATAGTTTGCAATTTGGTATTTCCAAATGCTTTCACAATCGTATGGGAGCATCCATGTTGTCTTCTTGAAATCACATCGAGGCTCTCTGAAACCGAGGTTGGGGAATTCCCTTGGAAAACCCCTCAAAATTTGAAGTTGTAAGTTTTTATTTATTGCTATTTTCTCCTATTATGTCAGGTAATTTGTTATGAACCTCAGATGAGGTGCTATGTAAATGTCGAATGATAAATTTACTTGTAGTTCCGTAACGGAATGGAGCATTCTACAGGGCTTCACTTCTCGAGGGCTTCATTTTAATTTTAATTTTGAAATTGAATCAGGCCAAATCGAGACCTGTCATAGCATGGCTGCCCTGTCAGTGTCAACCCTCACGCATTAGGCGTGATTGTCATGCATTTCCTGGAAAAAATAAAATCACGCATCAATTTTGTGTGTATGATAAAATGTCACGCAAATCACACATTATGGTGAAATCCCGTTGAAATATAAAAAATATGATATGCTGACAAGGTAAAAAAAATGAATGTCGAACAAAAGCTAACGCATTCCGTTCTGACTTCACGCAAATTCTGTATATGTCACGCATTTGGTTCGAAATATTTTGTACCTGTTTGTTTTTGGTTACTTCGGTCCAAATTAAGCCTTCTCTATATTCCGGCTTTGAGGAGGAAGATTGAGCTGCCTTAGTATTATAAATATTGTAAATCATTGTGTCACACGCACAGTATATATGGCATAATAATATGAATTATACCTTTATGTATAGATTTGAAGAACATCAGCTCACATCCCCGTCTGAATCTATTGTTATATTTGATTTCTTTTTAAGCGAGAGTAATTTCAAATTGTATTCACGTCCAGAACCGGAAGCCATTTTTAGCTACAGCGAGAAAATTTCACCATGTGTCAAACTCCGAAATGAAATTTTGAAATATCTAAATCCAGACAAGCAACGCTTCATCCTAAATATGATTAATATTCTTAAAAATATTTATAAAATTTATTAAAAATGAGTTCTAGGTGCGTGTAGGTGCGTGTAGCACCTTTTCTAGAGTACATACGAAATCAATGAAGTTACGTCTAGCTGTAAGCTAGAGACTCGAGTAAGTTTTTGGTGTTCCGAAGTTGACAGGTCTGGTACTGTAAATACCTGCATTTGTTGGGCAAGTTGACTACAGCGTTTGGCAGAAACCAATCAAATCACTTGTTTCAAACATCAATTCTTACCTGGAAATCCGAGCATCTTGCTGTACACAAATGCAGATTTTCAGAAATGTTCATTTTAAGACAGCTTTATTCATACTATACATGTATCACTTGATTGGTTTTCATTTATAAAGAATTGAAAACTATCAACTTTCCATTGTTGTTTTTTTGAAAATAATAAAATATAGTCGGAATTACCATTTAAAAAGAGGGTATCAGCCTGTTTATTTTAGATTCAGCGTGCCAATATTTTTCCCTGAGCATGCTGGGAACACCTAAGACGAGTGACTTACAAATGTTGAACACCTACCTTCAAATTGTGAACACCTTGGTCCGAATCTGAAAACATTGGTCCAAACAAGAAAATACAATAATAACTTAAGTTCATTTACTTCACAGGCCTGTCAACTGTCCCGCAATTTGCGTATTTGTCATGCATTTGCTGAAGAATTTGAAGTCACGCCAGTTATTTTTGCGTGACAGAAAATGTCACGCAAATACGCATTTTACCTGGTAATTGTCAAGCAAAAATATTTCTGTAGAAAAATTTCTAAAAAAGATCGTCTACACAGCAAAAATACGAACGCCGGAAAAAAAATGTACGCATTTCGTTCGGACTTTTCACGCGAATTACGTATATGTCACGCATTCCGTTCAAAATTTTTCGTACCTACCCCCCCCCCCCCTCCCCTTAAAAATTTAAACCAGGGTGTTCAAAATTTGGATCAAGATGTTCAGATTTGGACCAAGGTGTTCACATTTTGAGGGGAGGTGTTCAACATTTCCAAGTCACTCATGTTAGGTGTTCCCAAGTTGACAGGCCTGACTTCAGAGTAAAATGTTTTACCAGAGTGATGAATTTACACAGAAAAAGAAAATACAAATTGCAAATGCATGACATACCATGGTATACACAATTCGTGTGAAAGCTACGAACGAACTGCAATTCTTTTTCTTCGCATTTGGTTTTTTGATGTTCTTCTCCAGAAAAATTTTTGCTTGACAATAATCGTGTAGTATTCTTGAGTCAAGACAGCCTAGTTTGTACTTAGACTAATGTGTCATGTTTTGATACAATTGTCAATAAAAGAAATACTGTATGTATAATCAGAAAAAATGTGCAGTTACTGTAGTTTATATGACACACATAGGACTATTATATTTTAAAAGCAGATATATCCTCAAATTTCCATATAGAAATCATCACATATGGCAACCAATGCTTACGATGACCAGGTACTGTTTAACATAAACGGACCAATAGTCTTCCTGAAATCATCATGACAATAAATAAATAAATCAAAAATTAATTGGGCCCAAATTTCGAAAATTTAAGGACCATTTGTTGCTAATTTTGCTTAAAAAGGGCAAATCCATGCCCAAAAAGGCCCATTATTTGAGGCCCTACAAAGTTTTTGGACCCAAATAGTATTGGGGCACTAAAATTTTTAGGCCCACCAAGGGGGGGGGGGGCTCTGGATCCGCCAGTGCCGTCATTTAGTAAATACATGTAATCTGTATTATAGTTGATACTACAATGTATCTAACAATGTTCAACTTTTTTTGTTGATAAGACTCCATGTTAAAAGTGTTGGATCCCTAATTGGTAACTTAAATTATCATTTGCTCAATATCATAATATATACTGTATTTCAGACTCCAGCCAAGATTAGTTGTAATGGGCGACACAAACCCAAGCGGTGGTATCACATTGACCATAAGACTGATCAGATCCTTCGAACATCGCAACATAAAGCATCTTGTCTGTCACAATATAGACACAAGCAGCACCATTGAGGAACTAATGGAATTGATAAATAAAGGTGATTCCCCTTTCTACACTGAATTCCCTCTGGATTGGCACATCACTATCCTCAGCAGGGTTTGAAACTCACAGCTGCCAGTCTGCAAATGGCAACCACTTTTTTTGCTCTTGGCAAGGGTTTTGGAAAACATGTTGCCTATTGGCATTTGACTCGACTATATGCGATTATGTTCAATTGTGACAATCATGTTTTCTGTAACCACCACAAGTTGTGACATATTGACATGTGACATATATAGTCTCCAAATTTTTTGTGGATGGTGTTTGGCGGTTGATGTTTGGTGTCTGTAACAAATGGCATGTGGTGATATTTTGCATGTTAATGCTTTTTACCTTAATGGTTAACCCTGACCCTCTGACTTATACAGTTTATTATACAGTTTTGATACAGATAAGATCCTAATGGTCTCTAATGCAGCTCTTGTGATGACTTCTAATAAGAGTTAAAATGTTAATGAATTTGAAACAGTAAAACCTGTCTAATCTGAGTGCCCCTTGGACCAGCCAAAAATGTTCACATTTCAAGGTTTGCTGGTTGTGACATATCGTTATCATTGATGGTGTTCGACGGTTGATGTTCGGCGTCTGTAACAAATGGTGTCTAAAAAAAGGCAGGTGGTGACATTTTGCATGTTAATATAGGTCAATTATAGATAAAAATTTCAGACAAAGAAAGTGTTCACATTGAGAAGTATTCGGATCAGAGAAGTGTTCGGATTGAATGAAATGCAGTGTAATTAGTTGATGACAAAATACAATGATTGAATGGGCCTATATGCAAGATCATAGAATCATATTTTTTAATCTAAAGAGTGTAGATGCAATCAAACTCTTGTGAAGGGTATTTTTCTCAGTACTAGCTGGCTGTTCAAAATTGAATTGAAACGAGAATTGGTTTCTATGCACTATTAATGCACTATTTTCTCAAGCAAGATTTTACAGCCATGTAATTAATTGTAAACTGCAATAATCTATATAAAGATATGAACCAGTTGCAATATGGCATTTTCTCATATCAAATCTATTTTGTACCTTTCAGCTAATCAGTAATTTCAGTAATCTGTAAGCCATTTTAGCATGTCTTCACAGTAAAGTTATACCCTGTGTTGAGAAAATGCCTATCTGTGGTTCCTGATACCTTAAAATAACAGGGCATTAACATGCAATATATCACCACTTGCCATTTGTTACAGACGCCGATCACCAATTCCTGGCCTAGAGGCATTCAGATTAGACAATCTTTACTGTACAAGTATGTATAATATATTTTGTTAAGTTTTAAAAATTAATGAAGATTAATAATTTGGAACTTTGTCATATTTTAGATCTGAAGACTAAGCCTGGGCTGCCACCACCTTTTAGAACATTTACATTTGGTAAGACATATATTCTTGTATTTTATTATGAGGGATTCATGCAGTCAAAGGCCTGGGCCATTGGTTCTTTGATTAGTTCTTCCTAACCCTTTGAAAGTCAGAAAACATAATTTTGGTCTTAATAACTGGTTACCACATACTGTACTCCCTGTTAATTTTGCGAGTTTTAATTTCCTGAAATATCAATTTCACGATTTTACCATAATCGTGAAAAGCGTGAAATTAAGACTACAGTAGAATTAGGATAATTTTTTACTTCAATTTGATTTCAATGTAGAAAATATCATATCTTTTCGTTCTTACATTCTGAATTATGATTGGTAGGTATTCTTGACTTTTGATTGGAAAATAAATTATTATGTCAAGTTGACTCGGATAAATGTGCTTGATTGTAAAAGGCATTTAAGTCTTAAAATTAATCTTCAAGTTATGGCAAAATATCGAATGAAAACAAGTTTTGAAAAAATTTCTACTTTGATCTCTCCCAATTACAGGACTTGAGACCCTGAAGATATTTATCACTGACAAGGTCATGTTGACTTGACACGCTTGATAAATCCTGGTATTATTGTCTAATATCGTACTATGACAATTTCATTTTAGATACTTTGAAGATAGAACACAAGGCTCATGGTGCAAAGGTACGTTACAAATTAGTTATTAACATTCCCTAAATATTGTCTCATCAATTTGTCATTTGTGTTCAGCATTCGGAAGTTGGTGTCTGTAAAAAATGGCTGGTTATAATGCCTTGTTATTTTATACATTACAGCTAGTACTGTCTGGCAGTAACTAGAAGACTGGCTCTTTCACCCTGCTTTAACAATAAGAAAATGCCAAAACAATTGTCTGTCATACATTTAAAGCAACCATGTTCGAATATATTTATTTGACTTTCATCCAATGACACACATTCACACTTTTCACTTTTGGGCCCAACCACAGCCACTTTTTCAAACTCAAACTCCAAAATGTGCTGTTCTGTGCTGTGACATAATGAAATTGTTCTATGCAATTATAAAATATTTTTAATTCAATCTGTACAGTACTGTTACTTTTTGCTGTTACAGACCAGTGATCCAATAATCAACAGAGACAATGATGAAATGATCTTAAAGAAGGGCAGTACTATTGTAGAGTCTGGGATAGGTAAGCTTTAGTCTGATTAATTTAACAATAACAAAAATATGCTGTGAAAGTTGAATATGATATTGTGACTTTGCAGATTTTTTATGCTTTTCCGAGAGAATATATTACACAATTTTGAAAGTAATAATAACATACTGTGGAAAATTCCAAAAGATTGCTTTACTATGCACTACAGTCTTATACACAGAACTAAGAAATTATGATCAGTTTGGCAATTGAAAATGTAAATGAATAAGGGATTCCCTAACAGGTAAATAAAGGAACACCCCTACAAATGAATAAAGGGGTAGCTCTACTGGTGAATAAATGGATCACTTGTAGCTGAGAATATATGGCTGTGTGTAAGACTGTACTAATTATTTTCTTAAAATCAAATGGATGAGACTGAACAAATTATTTTCTTAAAATCAGATGGATGATATTGCAAATTGTGAATCCACTACTGCTCATCCTTCATGCTTCCTCGATGAATCAAATAAAATATAAACTTTACATTTATTGTAAACTTAATTTGAATGAGAAACTTGTGAGTGATAAAAATGCATTTAGCTAATTTCAGGTCCATAGCCAGGGGGGTTCGCAGGGTTCGGGCCCCCCCCCCCCCCCTGGCCAAAAATTCTTTCAAAATCATGCAGTTTTTACCATTTTGAGCATTTCTCAAGTGATTTTAGCCATATTTGGGTCAAAATTGTCAAATGTGACCCCCCCCTGGATATTTTTGAAAACTGAACCCCCCTTGGCAAAGCCTGGCTACAGACCTGAATTTATATCCTAACTTAAGTTCTAGATCTCGCTTAACCTGGCAGCTTCCTGGAAGAGAGGGATTTAGAATGGATGAGAGAACCAATAAAATATATGTAGGCTAATTAATTCCTATTTTTCCAGAAAATGAGACAGAACTGTCCTATTTCAAGTTGGAGGATTATGAGAGATACAAACAAAACCCTGAAGTTATATGGAAGCAATGACAATGCAAAGATTAATAAAATGGATGATGTGCAAAAAGATTATGTGCTCTACAATAACATATATTGTTTAACCCATGGATGGAATACAATGACAAAGATTATGTGCTCAACAAACAATAACAAAGATTGTTTGCCCCATTGTGGAATATTGTGACAAGGACAAGTGCTACACAATAACAAAGATTGATTGCCACAATATGGAATACAATGACAAACATTATGTGCTCTACAATAACATATATTGTACACCCAACAAAGATTAAGTGACAATAACAAAGATTGATTGCCCCAATATGGAATACAATGACAAAAATTATGTGCCCCACAATATCATATATTGTATACTATTGTATACTATTCTATACCCAACAAAGATTAGTGCCACACAATAACAAAAATTGATTGCCCTACAAAAGAATACAAAGATTATGTGCTCCAAGTTATCATATATTGTGTTCCCAATGATGGAATACAATTACACAGATCATGATTGTGTTTATTTGTTGAACAAGATAAATGATTGAATGTTTAACTTCATTCCATATTTTCGTTGATAGTCATGTGATATGCTATATTGTGTCAAAATAAATACAATATTTTTGTAACAAGTAGAAAAATATTTTAGACATAAATCACTAATCTATCAAATACAGCTTTCATGCAAACCATGGGATACGGTTGATATTCGATGGTTGACTCAAGATGAGGCTATTAGAGTAACAATGGCCAATCAGCCAAACACCCTTTAACTATGGAATAAAATGAAGAACATCCTTTGATTTACTCATGATATGAATTTTATCCACTCATGGATATGGATATCTGTACTCCTGCAGATGTCACATCCATTCATGGATAAAAATCATATCATTCATATACCATAGGATATCCTCTGTGTTTTACGTACAACCAAAAACAGTATTAGTTTTCATAATAATATTTTATTTCATTTATTTACTTCTCAAAAATTAAACATCATAAATTTGAAGTACATGTACTTGTAATATATTTGTATTTGGTTGAATACAGTTTTTTAACACTGAAGGGAGTCTGAGTTGGATTTAATATACTGGAATATTTTTTGAATGGAGACTACTCTAAGTTTAGCTTTGTCCAGTACATTTTGAGCTTGAGTTGATGTCCAGTTTTAAATGGTGATTGAATTTAATAATTAAAAATCTGCGTTCCAAAGCATGTATCACATTATTCAGTCCATACCCTATCACTTCCAACAGTTTCGCTTCTAAAGAGAACTTCATTTTGTATTTAGTACTAGTCTATGGATGTCAGGCTATCCTCACCAAAGCAATACACTTTATTCTCCCGACACATGGCTAGTTCAACAGCCGAACTGAAATCACAAAAATGAAAGTAATATTATGAGTAAGTATAAATACCAATATTATTGTCCTGGTTGAACAAGGTTTTGTCATGTCTCCACCACAAGTGATAACATATTGTTATAGTCTCCAACTCTTGTCATTCTTGTAGACAGTTGGTGGTTGGTGTTCAGCATTTGGTGTCTGTAACAAATGGCAGGTAGTGACATTTTGCATGTTAATGCCTTGTTATTAAATAATGTTCTTGGTACCTCACATAGATGGCACATCACACCTGATTGCTGAAATGAAACTAAATAAGGCATCAGACTAGAAGATTTGAATCAAATCTATTAACTAGGCCTAGTATTCGAGTTACCACTTTGATAGGCAAATGGATGGACTAATGGAGGGATGCCTTCTCCATATCTCGACTGGAACTTCATCTGGTGGAATACCCTCTACCTCTGATCATAATCTACCTAAAATAGCAAGCTACATTTCTAAATCCATTATTTAAACGTAACTAGACAAGAAACAACCCACCTATCAATCAGTCAATCAGAATATTCTTTACTACCCTTTACAATTATAATACATAATTTCATCCCACACTCTTAGCAAAAATGATAAGCCCCTTTTAATAAGAAAACATCTAGCCTTACCCAATCAAAGGTCAGAGTAAAGCTACATGTATAACCAGGCCTGTAGACAATTTTTGCCAAGGCAATTAATGTAAAAAAATTTAGGGGGGTTCCATTTTGGCCCAAAATCACATGAAAAGTCCTCAAAATGGTCAAAAACTGCATGATTTTGAAAGAATTTTTGGAGCTCCTATTCTGTGTGGTCTAACATGATAAAACTACCCATTTGCCAATTTGGCCAAACAACTGGCAATTTTTGCTAAAACAACATCCAAAAGAATGTTTTGTTTAAATTAATGGGAAGTTTTTATACAACAATGCTGCTGTTAATTTCTGGCCCCAATGGGAGAGTTAAGCTTACTCTTGTTAGAAGTCTCATAACTAGTTGATGCATGCCATCTATTTAGTTAACTCGGTCTACTATTAGCCGACATAATAATACAAGAGTGTATGGATTCTTGGCAATGTAGTCTACAAATGCTTCACAATATTTATTTTTCACAACCCTACTTATTTCATTTGCGAGGAAATTACTAATACTTAGTAGCTCAAATGGTGAGAATATGGAATCATTCACTCATGTCTGTCAGAAAAATGAAATATTTTGAAAATTCGGCTGAATCAGATGATTGTAATTAATTTTGTTGATGAGTTTTAACTTCAATATGGTTTAACCCCCTTCCTCGTATTTCAAAATGTCTATTATAATGCAATTATAGTGCATGTATATAGATATATTTAAGACAGAAATGTATTTATTTTATAATTGTGTTATTGCTTTATCTTGGATAAATGTTTTAATTCAACATAAAGACATACATCAACCTTCTTTAAAAATCAATATCATAAACAATTCATTGTTCCAGCTTATGGGTAGGCAAATTTAAGTTGTCAGTTATAAGATTTGGAGTACATGTACTTTGCAGTTACTTTTAAACTAGATCACAAATATTACAAGGACCACAAATACAGTAGGAATCACAAATATTGCAGGGATCACAAATATTACAACAAGAATCACAAATAAAGTAAAATATTGCAAGAATCACAAAGATATCACAGATCACAAATATTGTGATGATCACAAATATGGCATGGATCATACATATTGCAAGAATCGCAAATACTGTAAGAACATTATTAAAAAACAAATAGGACCAGATGCAAGCCTAAGAAGCATTAAATGGATTCAATCTGAGGCATGCAACAGAGTTCAATGATCTGACAAGCTGAAAAATATCAGTATTCTGTTTATTTTGATTCTGCAGAGCATCGAGATGTAGTCACAATTTAAAGGTCTCTGGACCATATATCCAGCTTCAAGCTCTATATCCTGCACTTAACAAACACAGGTAAGGCTGGAAATTCTAGCTTGTTACAATGTTTATGGAAGAAATTTAAATAATCCAGGTTCACCCAACCATGCATGAACAAGCTGGCCCTGATTGTGGATAACTGATGAAAAACACTTATAGTGGTGTTTCTACTAGCAGAGGCACCCTGGTAATTTACATGATTATCCTCTTCAGATACATATACACATTCCAGGCCTGTCCAATGACAGACCAGGCCCTGAATGAGGCTAATTAACAAGAATAAAAAAATAACATGTAAGTTTGATACTCATATACCGAGAAGTTAATAATAATCTAACACACGATCTTCCAATTTTACCCGCAATCCCAGTTTGGGTACCTTTAACCCAATACTACTTTCTGTGATTACTATAGGCCTCAATAGAATATATAACCTCATTCCAAGACCAGCCACTAGATAGAGAGGCCACTCACTTGGAAACTTGTTCAATTGCACACGGATATATTTCAGACATTAAACTGGAGTATCATGATAAAATAATAACATATGGATCATTTGTATGCCGAATACATTTAAAAATTAAAAAAATTAAATATAAACTTTAAATGATGGAATAAAATTGTCAATTACTGAATTCTAGTATTTACAAATGATCTTTAGCAATATACCATTGGAAGCTGGCTTCTACTTAAGGTAAGAACATTTCCTCTTAAACTTAATTGCTCATACCTCTCTATTCTTCAATGTAGAACCTTATTGGAATATTCTATTTCATTTCCGTCGTAACATTTCCTTATAAAGGCAGCGTGAATAGCCCTGAATCCCCTAAGTGAATGCTCTCTTAATGATAAATCGAAGGGTGAATGAATTTTGCTATTTTCCAAGATTGATTATTTTAATGACAGACTTAGATGGATACATTTTCGGAGCTATCCATAAGTGCTAGGATTTAAAGCAAGCATCTTATAATAGTCTAAAGAGGATTATGCTTTAACTTTAACTAACTCTGCTATTTCCTTTCATTCACCAAACAAGAAATAATTTAATATAATTATTCTGAGATGATTCTAAAGAAAACATTAGGCATTAACATGAAAATTGTCACCACCTGCCATTTGTTACCAATACTGACCCTCGACTGCTGAATATCAACCACTGAATCCCGAACACCATCCACATTTGACTTCTGATGATTTTGAAATTGTTAACGAATTGATACATTTTATAAATAAACTTTTTAATCAGCGTCGGGAGCTATTTGAAAAAGGAAAAAATTAGATTGTATGATAGTATTTGTGGAACAATGCATGTTGTTTTTTTTAACTGTATAATTATATGTAAATGTCTTGTAATTGATTTTGTGAGGAAACCAAGTGTTTGGTTTGAAACACAATAAAATCTTGAATCTTGAATCCACAAAAAAAGTAGAAGACTATATCTGTCACTACACTTGTGGTGGTGACATAATAAAGTAAACACCTTTTTAAAAATCAATCATTACAGAAATAAAACATAAACAAGGCATTAACATAATAAAATGTCACCACTTGGAAAAATGGCACGGTCAAAAAACATGTGGGTATAATAGCATGTCACCACTTCTTGGTGGTGACATGATAAACTGTTTTGAGATAAAGAAAGCTTGTGAAGAAGTAATGGGAGTAAATGAAATATGCTATAATTTAAATAAAATCGAGTAAATTACAGATGTTGTTAAAATTTCTAATTGAATCTGTCTGATTTATACAATGAAATGAAACCTAGCTAATGGATGACTCTGTATGTACATGGCATGGACACACTGACACAAGGTGGGCAAAACAAATAGTTTTATAGCAAGATGTCCCCCCTCACACCAAATGCAAAAATTAATTAATTAAAAAATAAATACCCAAAATAATTCACACAGGGCAAACAGTGAGCTCACAAGGCCAAGTGTGACAGCAACTTAAATCTATTTACCAATCCAATACCCTGAAACCAATCAGCGAGCAAAACCATATACTAGCCTCTGACCACATCAAATGATTTACAGTCTTTATAAATAAGATCTTAGTAACCTCAAAAGAACCTTTTTATGGCCTTTAATGTCAGTTTAAAAAATGAATATCAGCTACATATATGGGCATCCAAGATTTGAATTTGTAAAAAGGAATTTTATGAAAGATTTCAGAGTAAGGTGGTACTGGTGAGTAAAATGATGACCTTGAAGTAGGAACAGTAAAACCTGTCTAAGTGGAACACCTCTAAAAAGTACACCACTTAGAAGGTGTAATACTGATAGAGGTTACTTTAACATTAAGTCAGTTGGTCTTTGGACACTGAAAAGGGGTTTATTTTACTAACAGTGGTGTTCTACTTCTGGAGATGTTCCATTTTCCAGGTTTCACTGTAGTTTTATTAATAACTGGTCAAGTTTCCGTTAAATGATTTGTTTAAGCCTTTGGTTTCCTGGACGACATTATTTATACCCTGATGCAAAAATCTGAGTACCATTCTAGTAACTATGCTCTAGATAGGACAGCTGGATTTCTATTGACCCATTCCCTGTCTTCTAAATGGTAAAGGCTTATTCAAAGGATTTTCTCTAATCTGAAGGGTATAGATGACTTAATGTCACCCATTGGTGATATCGGAAATTGGTTTGTGTCTAGGTTGATGCTATTAGAAATATGTATGTTTTCTATTGTGTTGACATAGCGTGCCAATCAGATCGTAGCAGTTCCAATTTATCCATGTTACCATAGCAACCATAAAATCAACAGCAATATGGGTTACTAATTAATACAGGTAAGTTTCGTAATTTCTCACCTTACGTGTGCCTATATATAATCATGTTACTTTATCAAGTGCTGGTAAGTAACAGATTTTTAGGTAAAAAGATAGTATAACAGTATTATAAATAGGAAATATTGAACACCCAGACATTATCAAAATAATATGGAGAAACATTTCAGTAATTGCCAATTTGTTAGCCTAAGCTTTTCCCTGCTACATTGCAATGCAGAGTTATGACTGATTAATACTAAATTCAAAATACATTTGACAGATCTGCTATGGGAGCTAACGTAAACAAGATATCATAAACTACCATTTTAGCAGGGCGAATTTGTAAAATAAGTTGTGCTAAATATAAAATTATTGCAAGATAGCAAGATTCACTAAAATAAGTATCCACCCCAAAATAAAGCATTAAAATTAAATACAATTTTTTCAACTTTTTGTAAAGAAAATATGTAAGCTTTAATTATCAATTTGAGGAAAGTACTCTAAAGGGGCCTTTCAGTTTTAAATGTCCCTTGTAAAATAAACAAGGCATGAACACGCAGGATGTCACCACCTGTCATTTGTTACAGATGCCAACTGCCAAACATCAACAATGAAACACAAACTGCTGAACAAAGTCAACAAAAAGTTTTAGACTAAAACAATATGTCACCACTTCTGGTAGTCGTGACATAATAAGAGCTAGACTGATCAGTGAATCAAAATAATCTTGAAGGAATGTTCTGTTGATCTGAGAAATCAGGTTGCATTGGTTACAATAAATTCAGACTGTCTTAGGTTAAGCTGCATGGCATGTACTAAAATAAAATATTTTCATTACCGCAAAACTGTAAATCAAGATAAACTTTATTTATGACATTTATTTTATACTTCGATGGACTTATCAGGACATTAATGTAAGAAATCATAGTGACAATAAACATATTTCATAAAAGGGAAATAACTAAGATATTGAAATACAGGGTGACCTTGAAATACACAACCCACAGAAACTATATAATATTCAAATTACATGTAGGTTGATTTTACAATTTTTATAATTTTGGTCAGTTCTGTTTTTTGGGGTCAACCTGTAAATATCATAAATACTAGATAATTTCAATTTAAAGGAATAATACTCAAACCCATTTTGTCGTTTGAAAGTTTCTTAAGAATTACCTTTTTGTTAGCTAACACTGTGAGCCTATTGAATAAAAAATTACTTAACCCTCATCTGTCCAAGACCAAGAATTTGACAACACAAGAAGACATAAGAAGAAACTAAATGAAGCAATTTTCAAGAAGGACTTAATGAAGATGCGCCTAAGAGCTGCATAACAATACGATTTCCAATCCTGTCAATCATCAACAATATTGAGACAAACTGAACTTGACATTCCTCTGAACCATAGTGCAGGCCTGTCAACTTGGGAACACTTAACATGAGTGACTTGCAAATGTTGAACACCTTTGTTCAAATTTGTTCAAACACCTCGGCCACATTTTGAGCACCTTGGTTTAAATTTTATTGCATATACTCAAAGTTTGGACACCTCAAATTTTTCGCGCTCGCTAACTATTAATGGGGAGGGGTATGAAATATTTCAGGCAAAATGCGTGACATATACGGTAACCGCGTGAAATATCCGAACGAAATGCATTCGTTTTTTTAGTCTTTCGGTTTTGTCGTGTATTGCCGATCATTTTTTAAAATTTTCTACAGGAATATTTTTGCTGGACAATAATCAGGTAAAATGCATATTTGCGTGACATACTCTGTCATGCAAAAAAAACTGGTGTGACTTCAAATATTCCAGCAAATACGTGACAAATACGCAAATTGTGGGACAGTGTGACGGCCTGCATAGTGCTATATCCTTTTATAGGTGTTTTTGCTGTTAACATACCAGCTCCTTCTTTCGCCTCATTCAGGTGATATTGTTTTTGTACATTTTACTTTTTACAAGTTTGTAACATATATGTATTTTCCTAATCAGATTTTGTTACGATTGATGTCGTAAGTATCAGTGTGAGTTTCAGGTTGCCAATTAACATGGCTGTTAATTAATCAATTAATAAATATGCACCTCATAAGTAGATCCCAAAATACATTTAATTTTGCTTTTCATTATGTAACAGTGGCACAATATGTTCATCCCATTCATCAATCAACTTAGTATAAAAGGCCCTAAGATTTTGGGGAGATCATAGTTCCATTGAGCTCTCAAACACTACATCAATTATGCTGACATTGGTTGTTTTCGTCGCAGGGCTAACTGCAGTGCTGGCTGAAGGATATGGATGTAAGTAGGCTGGTACTATATTTCAATATAATGGAACTACTTTATTATACTTCAAAATAACTTAAATTGTGAAAATAAATCATGGGACTTATTAGAACTGTTGTAATTCATTTTAAAACCACCATAGCCTTTATACATTAACTGTATGTAGTGTTGTTATTACTTTCAGCCCGATGCTTTGACTGCAACTATGCCCCATCAGGCTATAGTTACCAGTCTGACTACTGGAAGCGATCCACCACAGCTGGGTATGAGGGATGTGCTCTAGCTAACTACGATGATGCTGATAACCTTGACAAATGGACCTGCAAATCTGGAAGGTGCTTCATCCGTAGAGACAAAAATGGGCGTAAGTGATCATTTCAATGATAGAAAATTCTGAATACTTTGATTCCTAAGATGATTTGGTTTGACTCTATGAGAATCAGGTTTCGAACGGAATGCGTGACATATACATGATTCGCGTGAAAAGTCCGAACGAAATGCGTACGTTTTTTTTTGGCGTTCGTATTTTTGCTGTGTAGACGAACTTTTTTAGAAATTTTTCTACAGAAATATTTTTGCTTGACAATTACCAGGTAAAATGCGTATTTGCGTGACATTTTCTGTCACGCAAAAATAACTGGCGTGACTTCAAATTCTTCAGCAAATGCGTGACAAATACGCAAATTGCGGGACAGTTGACAGGCCTGCCTTCCATTTACCCACAATCACAAATGTAACATCAATGATATAAAAGTCAATCATCCATTTCAATCAATAGAGCAAGACACAAAACTCAAACTACGAGATACAGATTTTAACATCCATTAGCGATATAAGTAGTTTTGTTTTGATCTAACCCTGCCTCAAAATATTCAGTGTGGATTTATAAATAAAACCAGGAATGTAAGAAACTGTCTTAAAGTGACAGCACCCCAAACATATTCAAGAATATTGTTATGGTCTAAAACCAAAACCAAATCTTCTGATGTCACCACCACAATTTCTTTATGGATGGTGTTCAGCACTCAATGGTTGGCGTTTGGCATTTGGTATCTGTAACAAATGGCAGATGCGACGACATTTTGTATGTTAATGCCTTGTCTATCTATTATTGCAGTCGTATACAGAGGATGTGCTGATGAGGAAAACCTCCCCCTTGGTGTCAACTCTTACAGTGGCTGCCAGTATGTTGCTGGATCCCAGTGGTACTTTTGCAAAGGAGATCTCTGCAACAAGGGACAGATTGGAGACTACGGACATTGTGACTACAAACCATCATACCACTCCCACAGCTACAGTAAGTCATAATCAATGAATGAACACTCGTATGTTTTTAACACCTCAGTATAGAAATATCCATGGTGAACACTCTATCGTATTCTGAACATATCTATGTAGAGGATACTCACTGATCAAGGGATCACTTTTCAGTCGAGAACACATCTGTCAGGCCCATAGTCAAGGGGGGGGAATTTCCAAAATTTCTTTCAAAATCATGCAGTTTTTCACCATTCTGACTATTTTTTTGAGTGATTTTTGGCCAAATTTACCAAAGTGAACCCCCTAGATTTTTTGGGAAAAGTGAACCCCCCTTGGAAAATTCTGGCTACGGGCCTGTCTGTTCTCTGGTAAACAGCTTGATATGGTGAACACCTCTGACATAGTGAACTTCTGTATGGTAAACACCTTTTAAGTGAACAATTGTATAAAATTAGACACCTCACTTTGGGGGTACACATCTCTAAAGATATATATACAGTAGAGATTATTAAGACATGTTCATGTATTATAACAATATTTAATATCATTTTTCCAGACCCATGTGACGGCAAATGCTACGGCAACCCCAGTGGACTCTTCAAGGACAACTACAACCCATACGGGTTCATCCAGTGTGGATGTGACTACAAATACGATGCCTACAGCAAGACCAGCAAGGCCTGTATCTGCTGCAAGCCCCTCCATGTCAAATGCCCCAAGGGAACAGCTTTCAACGACTATGCCAAGGTCTGTGACACTGCAAGCTACACTGCCCCTGCCCCTGCCTACCAAGCCCCTGCCTACCATGCACCAGCTTACCCAAGCTACCAGGCCCCTGCTTACCCAAGCTACCAGGCCCCTGCCTACCCAAGCTACCATTAATTCTTTTATCATGTATATATAATTAAATTTTCCAATAAAATTGCAAAACAATGACAAACGATGACATTATTTATGTTGATATAAGTATTTATTTTTTAATGAAAAAGTTTTCTATGATTTTTTCTTAACTTAATTTTAAGTCCCTAGAGTGTGAGCTCTATTTAAAAAGGCACAATGTCACATTTTCAATTTTTCCTATATACAGGTTGGGCCAAAAAACCAATACCTAACTTCAAATCAGGATAAAAATAGTTACAACCTTGTACAACCTTGTCAACTTGGGAAAAGCTAAATTTGGGGGATGGAAACAAGAAAATTCGAAGCAAATGAGTGACATATATGCAATTCGCGTGATCGTGAACATTCCTTACATTTTTTTCGGGTTCGTTTGTGGTGTTAATTTTTTTGATGTTCTTCTCCTGAGATATTTTTTCTTGACATTAATCAAAACATATGTATATTTGTATGACATATTCTGTCACACAAAAAAATGGGCATGACTAAAATTTCTTCAGCAAATGTGTAACAAATACGCAAAGTAGCTTCACCATTGTTGTAAATTACCAGTATGGACCCCTAAAAATAAATGATACAGGTTCATACATTCCCAGAAATGTGATGTTTTGACAAACAATCTCAATACCTCCTAAATGAGGCAAAAATAGTAGCTGAGATCAATAATGTAACATACCAGTATGGAGCCCTAAATATAAGCCTTCAACCTCTAGAAAATAGTAGCCGAGACCAATAATGTAATTTACCAGTATGGAGCCCTAAATATATGCAGTTCTCCAAAAATTGTTGATGAGCAAAAGGATGAATAGACAGACAGATGGAAGGACAGATAGGCAAATCAGTAGGTGATTCTAATAGGCTCAACCTGAACAATAGTCTATTTTACATGACACCATAGAAGAAAAAGATATGAAACCAATAATAATTTGTCAGCATGCTTCAAATTTTCTATGATCTCTAACAAAATTGTAGTAAATCAGTAGACAGTCCCATATATTATTTACCTACATTATGTTACATCTACAGTATGGGAAGACAAGATTAGTTCTTCATTCGATTTCTATTTTGCAGATCGAGGTCCATTGATACATCAATCTCAAAATTGTTTATTAGCTACTTAGTACTAAAACTAAGAGGAAAACAAATATCGGAAAGAGAAACTCTTTTACAACCAATATAAGTTATCATAACTGACTGATAGTCACATTAAAATAACCCTATCTCCCATTGGAACAATAAATATTTCCAACTCAACTTCCAGGTCAATCACTCTTTCCTTATTGAGTAAGACATGCCATATTTTATGCTCTAAAAACAATTGATTAGAACTCTCAGTAAACAGCTCGACTTCAGGATAGCAGGAATCTTTCAGTGACACCGTAGATGTTTTGACCCTTTGAAGGTCAAATAACAAATCTAAGGTCAGATATAAACTCCTGGAAACCTGTAGAGTGATCTAGTTCTATTAAAGCAAAACTGAGAAAATTTGAGTAAATTTTAATAGTTTTAAAAAGAGCAAGAAGTATGAATTTTGAAAACAGATGGCTATACGAGGGTTGTCCCAGAAGAAATGCACTATATGCTCTAACTTTATCAATATTGGTTTTTATATTAATGTTTTACGCTGAAACTTTGAGATATGACAGATAAAACTTCAATTGTAATATACACAAAATTTCAGCTAAATTGAAGAATATTAAAGAAAGTAATAAGAGCATATAGTGCATTACTTCTGGGACAACCCTTGTATCTATACATTTAAAAGAATAATATTATAGCAGGGTGTCAGGATTCCAAAAAGGACACAAAACTTAGGTTTAACCTTTTGGCTTTTGACATCGGCCTTATTTCATGGCAAATTCAGCCCAGATTACCCAAATAAAATACATTGCCGAACCATTCATGCAAAGTATAGTTACTCAACAACATAACTGTGAACCACATTGCGAACTGGTAGAAATTTCCATATGGATCTCTTAGATAGCTAGAAAATATAGATTCCCTTGAAACATAGCTTGGTAATAAGATGATCAGAACTTCCCTAACAAATCTATAAAAATAGCCATTGTTTATATCAGCAAAAAACAAATGATTTTTACTGACGAGACACATCTTCAAATTGTTTTATGTAACACAGGGAAATAGCTTGCTATTAAATAAGGTTCTGTCAAAGAGTTTTTAAGTTAGAATCTGAAGTACAAAACTAGAGATAACGCTTTGAAGTAGGTTCTTATCAGGAGTATTTAACCTAAGAACATTTGTCTCCCTGCTGCAAATGATATCCTAACAATGATATAGACTGATTTCCCTCTAGAGATATGTCAAGATATACTTTTCTATAACATAACAGGTTTGCACAGTTTATTAGAATTCTTGGACTAGCAGATCTGAATGGAGAAGGGGGGGGGGTTATTTGGGTTTGGGAGTTGGGCCTAAAGTGTAAAATTAAGCACAACATACAGTCAGGTGACTACCTTTCAAATAAAAATAGGCATTTTTCTCTGCAAAAATAAGCATTTTTGATTGTCTTGTCAAATAAGCCAGACTTTTTACACTTTCCCTCTTTCTTATTTTTCATTTCTGCCTCCTGAATCACCTTAAGTGAGGGAATAAACATAAAACAAATCTGCAAAAACTTGCCCCTTCACGTGGAAACTTTGCATAGACACTTCACAAAGACACTAAAACTTGCTAATGAGAAATATATTCAAGTGAGGGAATATAAACATCAAACATCAAATCTGCCATAGGAAGGTTGTACAGATTGCAAGCAAAAACAAACATTGTAATCAATATTTACACTTGACCATCAGGCATTTAAGGCCAAGCTAATTTGTTTTTTACCATCTTAAATAAGATAATAAATATCTCAAATATGATCAATGGTTTCTTATATTATCAGAAGATCCAGTTATTTAAGCTGATGAATTCTATAAACAACCTATAGAAAACTTGGACAACGAATAGTTTGATAAAACATGAAGTTGATTTTCCCTGGAATAATAAGGGATTTTTAGGAAATAGGCTATTTCATTAGAATTGGAAAAATCCCATTTGTGCTCCTCATTTAGCCCTTCTAAATACCCTTAGATTAACAAAAAAATAACACAATTTTACAATTTAATAGCCAAGAGGCGTGACAAGGAACCACTGAATTGTACACTATTGCATGCCAAATCCTACTTTTTAATTTAATCTACAACAAGCTAAAGTCAATGTTTACCATCACGATCAAAATGATTAAACAGTAAAACCTGACTAGTCTGAACACCACTACAACAGTGTTCAGATTAAGAGGTGCTCACATTTTAAAGTTCTTCATATTCTATAATTCTTAAATCTATTTTTCTAAATACAGTAGAACCCTCGTAAGTGGAACACCCTTGGGACCACTAAAAAGTGTTCCACTTCGTTGGGAGGTGTTCCACTTTCAGAGGTTCATTAACATGGAGAAGATAGGTCATGTGACTTTAAACACATGGTTCCACTTGTGAGGTGTTCCATTTACAGAGGTGTTCCACTTAGCAGGTTCTACTGTTTAAAATTTTCTTTGAATTTAATACATAGTACTAACATGTCATTGTCCTGAGGTGAATCCAAACAGAAAATAAAAATGAAAGTCTGTACTTTTTGGCTTGATTAACCTCCTGTCTAAAAGATTACAGCTAAGAAATCTGATTCAGGTTTGATTTTATTATTATTACTATATACCATTCAAAAGTAAATCATAAAAAATGTATTATTAGAGAGAATCAGATAAGAATTTACTGGTGGATCTGGGTGGGGGCCTGGGTCCCCCTTTTTTGGACCAAAAAAAGCCTTAAGGCCCCAAAAAGTGGGTCCTTTTGGTCATTTATGGGCCTTTCAAGCCCTATTTTTTAAATTCAGGCCAAAGTTTGAAGAAAATAGGCCTCAAAATTTCAAAATTTGGGCCTACTTTTTGGGTTTTAGGGGCCCGTAATTTTTTTCCGGAAGTTTTTTCTCTGACCGGAAATTTGGGCCCCCCCCCTTGTTGCTTCCCAGATCCGCCCCTGGAATTTGTTCACCATTCAGCATGATAAAATATTTATTTTACATAATAGTGAGACTCGCAAAATTCTGACTGAAGGTTAAATGAATCATCAAGTAATCACAATAAGAGGTCAGAATTGATCTGATTTCATTAATAAAATAGCTTTTACCACGGTCGCAATGTTCTAAATATCAAAATGAATCATAGGAAGCGGATAAGTTAGCCCTGTTCTAATAAATCTGCAACAAGCCACTTTCGATGATTTAGAATGCTCGTATATGCCAGTCCTAATATTTACGATTTTTTCGTATCATAAGTTAAAATATTGCAGAGAAAAATAAATTTTATTCTATGCTTCATTACATCATCAAAACTACTTTAGCTGTGATAATATTAACCAAGTTATTTTATATTTATTGTATCTAAAGAATATCTCATTTTATCTACAGAACATTTATTTTTTGAATTACTATATGAAAATGATAACCAGGCAACAAGGAATTAACATGCAAAATGTCCCCACCTGCCATTTGTTACAGATGCTGACTGCTGAAGGCTGTTGCAGATGCAGAATGCTATAAACACCAACCACTGAACATTGACCAAAAAAGTTGAAAAGTTGAAGTTTTATGTCAACACTTCTGGTGATGACATAAAAATGTAAAAAAAAGATATGAAGAGGTAGCAAAATGACAATCCCTCTCCTGTTGAAAATAGCAGAACTGTTTTATTTAACATGATTATTTCAATAAATTCGGGGGAAATGCATAGAAGGCTGTTCAATAAATTTGGGGAAAATGCTCTCAAAATTTAACTAAACATCCAAAGAATATCTGGTATTTGATTTGTAAAACAATATCAGCTGGTAATTTGACTTTTGGGCAGGTCTAGGGGGACATATCAAATGACATATAGGTAATAGGGAGGGAGTAATTTGATTAAAAAGTTTCTTTAATAATTGTTCAAAGGACTAGAATAACCTCTCTAGATAGGATAAAACATAATTTATGATGCAAATCAATTATCATCACTTACATTTTTGAGGGGTAGGGTGGGATTCAACACAAAAGCTAATTACTTATATGTTTTTATCATAAATCATTTTATATTGACATTTACCTTCTAAGAGTATATAAAAGTCAGATATATATTAA